AAGAAACAATCGGAATTTAAAATCGATTTTCTTACATTCCAGGGTATTATAATGCACTAATTGGATACTGTCAAATTAGAAATGTTAAAAATGTTGGTAAATGTTGAAATATAGATGTATACTGCCTTTCAAGGGAACCAACATGTTTTATTTTATCATTAAACTCAGGATTTATAAATAAACATCAGGTCAACAGAAATGGCCGGGGGAATACTTGCTTCATAAAGAATACAAGAAGGATGGGTGGGAATCCATTAATTTAATGGCTTCCAGATGAACACAAAGTGTGAATATGAAGTGGTTCCAATTTAAAATCATACATTACATAATATCAACAAACATGCTTTTGTATAAAATTCAATGCATAGACGCCTTTTGTGAACTGGTACCAGAGACCATAGAACACATATTGTCTGACTGTACTTATGCTATGAATGATTGGAAAGACATGAAAAAATGTCTTGGAAAGATAACTGAAGGAAAAAATAATTTTACTGGTGAAAATATTTTATTTGGTTTTACAGAAAAAACAATAATCCCTTAAATGTAGTATGTTTGGTCGTAAAATAAACAGTTTATAAAATGAGCAGAAACGAAAACAAACCTTTCTCAAACGAAATCAAAGAGAAGTATTAAAGTACTACCAGATATCTAAATATATTGCCTTTTCAAATTGTAATCAATCACAATTTTATGCCTTTTGGTAATCTTTTCATTCTCTATTTTCAGATACTGATTTTGAGATTTTAGGAGTGTGAGGAATGTAAATGCTAAGTGCTAACCGGTAATACTTCTGTATGGTTGAGCTGAATGTTTTGAACTGTCACGCTAAGTTTTAAGAATGTATACACTGTTACAGCTGATGAAAAAATAAATGTATATATGTATCATGTACTATGGGGAAATATTAAATACTATAAAAAAAACCATAATAATACCGTGTACTAATTTAAAACTGTTTCACTTCTCTGAAAACAATCATATTATTTGATAAAACTACAGATTTCAGATCCAGACATTTTCCCATTTAGGTCCTACTGACTTTCTGTCAAAATAATAGGTCTTGCTTGATTTGGGTGTGTCGCATCGCGTACCAGTTGTGCACAGACAGTCGTACAACCTCTGTAGCTCATCTGCCTCAGGAAGAGATAATTTGATGACACTTCTACCTTATTTTGATTTATGTTGCTTAACGCCGCACCTTTACGACGGCGTTCTGTAAATAATCGAGTCTGGCCCAGACAATCCAATGATTGATATCATGAACATCGATCTACGCAATTGGGATACGATGACATGCATCAACCAAGTCAGCGAGCCTGATCACCGAATCCCGATGTACCATGTACTATGGGGAAATAAAAATATTCAATAATATTTAAAATATACTTTTTAAGAAAAAGAAACGCAATATGGATATTTTTCGCCATGAAAGCAAAATTAGCGGACAAAATAAAGAGGTTTAATGTGTTATAGTGTCAGTGACATATTTCCCGGATCAAAATGATCACAAGGACATGCAAACCATTAGTCGGGAAACAAGTTCGATTCGGAAAAACGCACCCAGTGCATTAACAAACGGGTCATGGAGCTGCACGTACTGCACGTGCAGCAGCACTATGAACAGTATTAAAGTGCAGGGTTTTTGATTGCCTGGCATCTGCGTCAATCGAACAGTAACAGTTCAACAACATGCCAAGATTAACAGAAGTGCAAGGCAACAACGTCATAGGCCGCTTGCAGGCAGGGGAATCCCGATCAGCTGTAGCCAGGGTTTTCAATGTAGCGCCTAGCACCATCACAAGACTTTGGGATCGGTTTCAACAGCATGGGTCAACACGTGATCGGCCAAGATCGGGACGACCAAGAGTAACCACCCGCGCCCAAGATCGCTACATATGACTGCGCCACTAACGTGAAAAGACGACCACAGCCATCTCAACTGCATCCCAAATACCCGGACTGTGCAGAATCTCTTAACAGACCGTACGAAACCGTTTAAGAGCAGCAGGTCTACCAGCAAGACGTCCTGTTCGACGAGTCATATTGAGACGACAATATCAAGATTTCTCCTCCGTCGAGGGGATGGAAGAGCACGGGTCTATAGACGTCGGGGAGAACGTTACGCCGTAAACTCCTAATTCTAGCCAACGGTAACGGTATATTCCAGCAGGACAACGCTCGACTGCATACAGCACTGATCACACAAAAACAACGTTGATGTTCTCCCCTGGCCCTCCATATCCCCGGATTTGAACCCGATAGAGCACCTGTGGGATGAATTGGATAGACGGCTACGCCGACGTCAACCACAACCCCAGACGTTGCAGCGGTTTGTTTTGCGTTGCAGGCCGAGTGGGCTACCATTCCCCAGGATGTGATTCGCATACTGGTCTCTTCCATGGGCAGGAGATGTCAGGCCGCTATTGATTCCAACGGTGCACATACTCGTTATTGATGGTAGCTGACCTTCACCTTGGAGTTTTCCTATGTACCGATAACTGACATGACTACAATCACCAAATGTTCTCTCCACAATATTTTGGCTCAATACCGCGTACGGTTCCTCGTTTAAATGTATTTTCCTACCCCACACAAATCTGGCTTTGCTTACTTTTTTTGAAGAGTAAATTAAGGATTATGGTTCGTCTTTGAGACAGGGATTTGGTGGTACATTTGCTGGACCCAGCAATATATCTCTCTTTGTATAGATTTTTATGGAGCTTCGGAATCCAGTTCAAAAGAGGAATGGACATGTCTTCATGTTTTAGAGTCTAGGCAAAAGCTGACAGTACTGACTTATGGTTTTGGCAGATTTCTTCCGAAGTTAACACACTGGCCTTATATGTGGCATTATTTGATGTGTCATTTATACCAAGTACTTTGATCAAACAATTAATGTTGTGATGCTTACATATAAATGGTATGTTATTTGAGGCCTTGTCAGTGTGAACAACTAAAGGACTGTCGGAAATGCTAGAAAACTACTTTTTGCCGAGTAACTACAGATCGCCCTACCTGTGGTTTGAAGTATTTCAGTCAAAAGGAGTCCTATCGACAAGTTTACAGGAGACAAATTCGAACGAAAACAGGTATTTTGCATTTATTCTAAGTCCAATGATGGCAGTCTGAAACGGAATATAGAAATATGCGCACGTGACTCCGTTATAATGATAATAATAGTAGTAAGGAAACTAGTAAATGGTGAGAACAATGCCCAAAACCTCCTTTTGTGGTAATAGGAATGTGGGGAATGGTATGACACATCTGGTCTGTTATGGAATGTCTGGAATGTTGCAGAATGTTTTGAATGGTATGGCACGTCTGCTCTGTTATGGAATGTTGAGAATGGGTATTGGCATGTCTGGAATGTTGTAGAATGTCTGGAATCGTATGGTACGTCTGCTCTGTTATGGAATGTTAGGAATGGGTATTGGCATGTTTTGAATGTTGTAGAATGTCTGGAATGTTATACCACGTCTGGTCTTTTATGGAATGCTGTAGAATGTCTGGAGTGTCTGCAGAGTCTTTAAGTGTTCTAACGCACCTGATTTATTATAGAATGTTGGAAATGTGTATCCCCAGTTTCATTACACAGATATATTCAACAAAAGCTATGTACGTGAAGAAAACGTAAACCTCGGCATAAGCTGATGAAGAGATGGAGCAGTTATCTTAGTATTAGTCTGTCATCTTCCTTTCCCATCACATGCAACACTGACCCCTATCTTATCGACCATGTTATGCTAGTACTAGATATATATATATCTAGTAGTATATATATATATATATATATATATATATATATATATATATATTCCGTAACAGGAGTTGTGGAGGTGGCGGTAGAGGTGGGTATGTTCATAGTATCGGTTGTGGCAGTCAATGCAGTCACCAACTGCAAGTCTTCTATGATGTTCAAAATGTCCTCTTTTCGTTCCACGAGCGAACGAAAGGCATCGGCAGTCAAGCGGACTACTTTTTCACTACCATCTATATTTTGGTTTGAACACCGTTACATCAACGGTGTCTTTAAACCAATACTTGACTCTATTGATCGACATGTCTTCCTCTACTTTTTTCTCGAGTAGGGTGAATAAAACATTCGTGTAGCAAGACACCTTACCGATTGGAAAGTTCCAATTTTTAGACCATGAGGAGATTGAAAAAATTGATTGGATGTCCGTCCCAGATGAGGACGATTATGGCTATATTATAGAATGTGACCTTAGCGTCAGCCGTGGCCTACACAAGCTTTTTGCTTCTTTCCCTTTGGCACCATCGCATGACAATTTATCGGCAACAGAGTTTTCTCCTTAATGTATGGAGCTGGTGACAGAGCTGGGACTCCCTCTGAAGAAACCTTCTGGTAAAAAATAATTTGGTACTTTCAACGACAAAGGCAATTATGTGATTCATTATGAAACACTAAAATTTTATCTCAGATTGGGACTTACTCAGACTCATGTTCACAAAGTATTAAGGTTTACTCAGGGATCCTGGATGAAACCTTATATTGAATTTAATATTCACAAACGTCAGCAAGCTGCAGACAGTGCCCTTCGTGATTTATATAAGTATCTTTGTAATGCTTGCTTTGGAAAGACAATTGAAAGCGTTAGGAAATACACACAAGTTGAGCTCATTTCCGATTCTAACAGACTTTTAAAGTACACATCAAAGTGAAATTTCAAACATTTGAACACTTTTTCTGACGACCTTGTGGTTGTTGAAATGGATCAACGTGACGTTGAACAAACCTATTGCTGTTGGGTTCTGTATTTTAGAACACGCTAAGCGATGAATCTATTCTTTCTACTATAACGTATTAGTGCAACAGTACCAACATCATGTATCACTTTGTTTCACCGACACAGACAATTTATTTATAGAAGTGAGAGCTCTTTCGGGAGAGACTTCACTTGATCCATATGTTTGACACTTCAAATTATCCTAACTGACATCGACTCCATAGCACTCTGAGACATAAAGTTGCAGGATTAATGAAGGATGAAGCGGGAGGTAAAATCTTTCGAGAATTTGTGGGACTGAGAGCCAAAAATCTGATAGATGAGAGCTCATATGAACAAAATTTACTCATGTAAGCAAATTTACTCATGGACTATATTTACTCATGTAAGCAAAAGGATATTTAAATTTGCGTTCACATGAAGTTTATGCAAGGCAGAAGTAAACATCATTTCATAAATAAATTGTGGACTTTTATCATTTGAGGCCATGTCGCTGTCGTAGATAGTCAACCAGAGGCGAAAGAGAGACTTTCCATACTTTCTTAGTATGGGATTAGTCTTAGGATTATGCCAGGAAAGAAAGCTGTGGAAGAGAGAACGTTCTCAACACTGGTGGAATAATGTCGTCAAACGAACTGTGGATCGAAAACTTTTGCATGACACGCGATACATTTTACGTTCTTTGCAAGGAACTACAGCCGTATTTTCCTGCACAGGAAATGTATGTGAGTGAACAATTGGAGATGGATCACAAGGTGGCCATAACAATTTACTGGCTTGCCTCCTCTGCGGAGTTTAGAACAATCAGCAACCTGTTTGGGGTTGGTATCTCAACCGTGCATAAATGTGTGCATGATATATGCAATACAACAAGTATTTGTCACAAAGTGACGAAATGTCCCCCGCCTGTATTAACACCATAGTACCAAATATGAAGACAATCCAGTGATTAGTTCTTGAGATATTGCGGCAACACCGTTTTCCAACTCCAAAAACAGATTTGCCTGCTGTGACCTTGAAAATGGGGTCAAGGTCACCAAAACCGACTGGTGTCTGCGGAGTCTGTATATACACCATAGTTCCAAATATGAAAACAATCCAGTGTTTAGTTCTTGAGATATCGCTGCAACACCGTTTTCCAACTCCAAAGCAGATTTGCCTGCTGTGACCTTGAAAATGGGGTCAAGGTCACCAAAACCGACTGGTGTCTGCGGAGTCTGTATATACACCATAGTTCCAAATATGAAGACAATCCAGTGTTTAGTTCTTGAGATAACGCGGCAACACCGTTTTCCAACTCCAAAAGCAGATGTGCCTGCTGTGACCTTGAAAATGGGATCAAGGTCACCAAAACCGACTGGTGTCTGCGGAGTCTGTATATACACCATAGTTCCAAATATGAAGACAATCCAGTGTTTAATTCTTGAGATATCGCGGCAACACCGTTTTCCAACTCCAAAAGCAGATTTGCCTGCTGTGACCTTGAAAATGGGGTCAAGGTCACCAAAACCGACTGGTGTCTGCGGAGTCTGTATATACACCATAGTTCCAAATATGAAAACAATCCAGTGTTTAGTTCTTGAGATATCGCTGCAACACCGTTTTCCAACTCCAAAGCAGATTTGCCTGCTGTGACCTTGAAAATGGGGTCAAGGTCACCAAAACCGACTGGTGTCTGCGGAGTCTGTATATACACCATAGTTCCAAATATGAAGACAATCCAGTGTTTAGTTCTTGAGATAACGCGGCAACACCGTTTTCCAACTCCAAAAGCAGATGTGCCTGCTGTGACCTTGAAAATGGGATCAAGGTCACCAAAACCGACTGGTGTCTGCGGAGTCTGTATATACACCATAGTTCCAAATATGAAGACAATCCAGTGTTTAGTTCTTGAGATATCGCGGCAACACCGTTTTCCAACTCCAAAAGCAGATTTGCCTGCTGTGACCTTGAAAATGGGGTCAAGGTCACCAAAACCGACTGGTGTCTGCGGAATTTGTATATACACCATAGTTCCAAATATGAAGACAATCCAGTGTTTAGTTCTTGAGACATCGCGGCAACAAACAGGTGGGACGTACGGACGGTCGTGAATACTATATCCCCCGCTTCGCGCTTTCGCGCGGCGGCGGACAATTACAGAAAATTTGTTGGCAAAATATGTGAAGCTTCCAGTAGATGACGAATTGAAGGTTGTCATTAATGGCTTCCAGGAGACATGGGGATTCCCAAACTGTGCAGGGGCAATTGATGGAACCCGTATCCCCATAATTGCACCTTCACAAGCTCACGGTGACTACCTCAATAAGAAAGGATTTTATTCTATTCTCCTACAAGCATTGTGTGACCATCAGTACATAATCACTGACGTGAATGTAGGATGGCCAGGTAAAGTTCATGATGCCAGGGTCTTTGGCAATTCAGAACTGTACTATAAAGGAGAGACAAACGACTTGTTGCCAAACTGGACCAGGCAGTTGAGATTGCCTGACAAGCAAGTATCAATGTCAGTTGTGATTTTGGGTGATGCAGCTTACCCTTTGAAGCCATGGCTCCTAAAGCCATACACGCATATTGCCAACCTGTCTGAGGAAGTCATATTGTGTGCAAAGGAACTGAGAGACGATGTCTCAAAATACTTTTCAACTCACTGAACTCCTTAATAATTACTAACAGTAAAGTGGGTTTCAAGACACGGAAGTGTTGTAACAGTTCTATTGTTCAGTAACTGATATTTTCCCACAGTATGTGTAGCCATGTTCGTTTGCGTTTGAACAGAAGCATTATATTGCAATTAAAATCTTTAAAAACCGATTCCCACTTTTCATTTGTCTCTCATCTATTTACTTGAAGAATACTTGAACTTGACAAAATAACGACTAACAAATAACGAATATATTTTCCGAAAAGCTCCTTTTATTTGACACAACATCTAATATCCTTATCCAGATAATAAGAAAGTGATAAATTTTAAACACAATCGTGAAAAGTAACAAAATGTACTGACATCTGCGTCAGAAGGTTAACAATAATCAGTGACAGTAATAAGTTCTTGGGACTGAATCAAATGTTTGCAAAATGTTTTCCAACACAACACATTACAACTGATAGAATGAGTTTCCTGATTCTTCATAGGACACATCTGACTGATCCGTAGATCGTCGTCGTTCTGGTGTACTGTAAGCCGGATACTGCTGACCTGGCTGATTCCAGGTAGCTCCAAACATGTTTGGCACTTGGGTGTTGAAATTCTGGGGGAAAGGAGGGGATGCTTCACACGACCTATGATCATCTGCATCATCCGGAATTGATGATCTCTTTCCTCTCGCTTCAGTCGTTCTTCAACTTCTAATTTCTGCTTCTCGAGCTCCATCTTCTTCATTTCAGTGTCAAGCTTTTTCTCTTCCAATGACATCATTAGAGTTTCAAATTTGCTGTAACTGTCCGAATATTCCTTCATGACCGTTCCGAGAGCGGTCTCCAACCTTGTTATTTTTATTCTCTAGTCTGTCTTCACATCTTTCTTCTTTGGTTCCCTATTATCTGTCTTCCCATCTTTTTCACATTTCGTTTGTCTTGCCACTCTTATTATCATTTGAATCTTCATTATCTTCAACTCTGTCAGCTGTGTCATTTCCTTCAACAATTATGGTGTTAAGCTAGCAGAACTTTGTCGTTCTTTTAATCTTCACGTCTTTAATGGCAGGCTCTTTAATGATCAGAGGGGAGAGTTCAATTGTGTAACACACAATGGAGCAAGTGTTGTTGATTATATGTTAGCTTCATCATCCCTGATTGCCCATGTAACTGACTTTGGTATTGGTACAAGAGATAATTCATGCCACTTTCCATTATACTGCAGTCTTAATCTAGATTTTAACTGTTTATATGAACCTGATTGTAAATTGCCACAAAATGATCTTCCGCAAGATGTCAGTACTGAGCCATGTAAATGGTATAAGTGTGTCTGGAGTAGAGACTCTGGTAACACTTTCTTTGATAATTTTAAAGCTGGCTTTTATGATATTAAATCTGCACTATGTGATATGATTGATACAAATGTAGATAGTGCCCTAGTTCACATAGTTAATATTATTCAATGTGCTGCTGACCATACCAAAATGCTTTAAACACAATTCCGCAAACCATTAAAATTATGTCAGCCACCATGGTGGGACCAAGATCTCGAAAACTTGAAACATGATAAGTATGCTGCTCTCAGAGCCCATAGAGACCACAATGCTGATCTAGACCGCTTTAGATATTTTAGACGCTTGTTTAAGATAGGTTTCCAAAAACAGCAGTATCTACAAACTCAGAGGGACAAATTAGTCGCAGCTGGATCTGACCCAAGTCTTTTCTGGAAAATCATTAAAGAAAACAAATTTGGTAACACAATTTCTGAAAATATTTCATGCCAGCAATGGTTTGACCATTTTAGATCACTTTTATCCACTGACAATAGCACCCAGTATCCACTCTATGATGATTCTGCCCCCTCTGCCTCCGATAGTTTAAACCATCCCATCTCTGAACAAGAAGTATTATCCCACATAAAAAATCTACCTAACAACAAATCCCCAGGTCCAGATGGCATACCAAATGAATTTATTAAATCCTGCAGTAACCTTCTTGCACCTATTCTCACCCAGATTTTTATTCAAATATTCTCTACTAGTTCCTTCCCAGAGGTAAGAGTATAATCTGTCCATTACATAAATCTGGTGATAAATCAAATACAGACAACTACAGAGGAATATCTCTTATAGATACTTTATGCAAGGTTTTTACATCTATCCTAAACAGCAGATTACAGCTATGGTTTGACACCAACAACATCCTCAGTGAAGTTCAGGCTGGTTTTAGAACTGACTATTCTACTATTGACCATATGTTTACATTACAAGCTATTACAACAAAATATTCTGGCAAAAAGAAGGGAAGATTTTACTGCCTCTTTATTCATTTTTCGAAAGCTTTCGACACTGTAAAACATGATGTTCTGTTGATTCAATAAAGAAAGTAGGTATATCAGGTCCCATTTATAATGTCCTAGTTTCCATGTACAGTGGTTTATCAGCCTGTGCAAGATCAGCCAAAGGTTTATCTCAAGTGTTTCCATGTAATGTAGGTACTCGCCAAAGTTGTGTCTTAAGCCCACAAATGTTCCTAATTTTTATTAATAATTTGTCCACAGTATTTGAGGAATTAGGTGGTAAAGGTATTCATATTTCTCCTGATATAGATACTTTATGTGCTCTTCTTTTTGCTGATGATGTTTCTGCTCTCTCAGATTGTTGTGCTCAGCTTCAAAAGAAAATTAATGCTTTGGAATTTTTTTGTAATAAAACAGGCATGCAAATTAACTTTAAAAAAACAAAAGTAATTTTATTTAGTCAAGGTGGCCATCTTCGCAGTTATGAAAAGTGGTTTTATCATGGTGAACCTATTGAAACTGTTTCAAGCTATAGATATCTTGGCTTAATGTTTACACCTAAGCTTGTATGGAGTAAGGCACAAACTACTCTAGCATCCCAAGCCACCAAAGCAATTTTAGCCATTAACTCTTTTCAAAGGAAAATTGGTAATATCACTTGTACAGATCTGTTTAAGGTTTTTGACTCTATGGTCACCCCCATCTTAACACATGGCTCTGAAATTTGGGGTACTTGCTATTGTAAAAAAATCGAATCTGTCCAAATCGCCTCTTGTAAGCATTAATTAAAAGTAAACAAATCAACCTGCTCAAATATGGTTTTAGGGGAATGTGGGAGGTTTCCTTTACAACTCACTTACATGACTAAAGTAATTAAATATTGGTGCAGGCTCTTACATCTTCAACCCCACAGATTACCTTCCCAATGCTATTTAATACTTAAATCTTTAGATGATGTTGGGCGGGTAACTTGGGCGACTAAACTTAGAAATATTTTATTCCAATTTGGGTTTGGTTTTGTATCGCTCAATCAAGAGGTGGGTGACTCGAAAGCTTTTATTCTCCATTTTAAGCAAAGGCTCAAAGATAATTTACAGCGATTCTGGAGTGCTTCTGTAAACTCTTCTCCAAAATGTGATCTTTATAAGCATTTTAAATCCATGTTAAATGTTGAAAGGTACTTGTCATGTCCACGCCCTACCCATTTAAGAATTGTTTTTACTAAATTCAGATGTTCAAATTTTAAAAGAGCTTTAGAAACTGGCAGATATAGTAAAACAGACCGTTCACTCAGATTCTGTAACTATTGTAGTAGTAAGGAGTTAATGTCATTGAGGATGAATTCCATGTACTCTTTAATTGTATTTTATATTCTGCCCTAAGACAAAAATACCTTGTTAATCTTCCTATGCCTACTCATTACAGTAATTCTGATGTAATAAATATTCTTAGTAATTATAATGAGCAAACATTATTTCTAGTTTGTAAATTCTTATATTATGCTCACAAAATAATTAATGATAAATTCTGTGCCCTGTAAATGTCATGCTCACATGTCTGTATTTTGGGCCATTGGCCTTTTACTGAATAAACATGTCTGTCTGTCTGTGTCATTTCCATCATCACCCTTCTCTTTCGGAGGCTCCTCTGTCTCGTTGTCATCTCTTTTATTGTCCTCAAAATTGACCTCCACTTCTTCTGAGTTATTGCTTTCATCTGTCATGTCCTCATTCCAAAAACGCTTATTTCGAGCCATGCTTTCCACTAGCTTTACAGGGGAAGTCGCTTGTCTTTGTCCTAATATCCCACTTGTCTTCATGTTTTTCTTGCAACCCCAAAATGTTCTCATCAACGTGTGCATGCGTATTTTGCACTGTGCACTACTCTTATGAAATCCTTCCATTTCCATTTCAGCTGCAATTGTATATATTGCTCCTTTATTCCTCTTTGGATCTTCGAGCTGTTCTTCAACATTTTTCTCATTCCACACCGATAACAAACACTCTGTCTCTTCATCACTCCAAGAAAGTCCACGGGTAGACTTCCTAGCATTTGTTTTAGGGTAAAAGCTCCTTTTTGGTGGCATTTTCTATGGCAGACTACTAAACCATGCACACTCCAGACGGCTGTCTAGACGAGAATAGCTATGATTCAATCCCTGTTGCTAAATATAGCCTTTATGAAATTTCATTCGGAATTCTTTACTGATTATCAGTATCTTGGATTTAATATGCTTACGTAAGCAAATAGAGAATCTGTTCACATGACCAGAAATACCCCAGGAGCATATACTTATGAGTAATTTAATTTGACTAGACCTCATCAAATATACTTTTACTCATTTCTCTTTACTCCTGGAGTATATTTACCCACGTAAGCAAATGCGTTCACATGCCACCATAAGTAAATTTACTTATGTAAGTATATATACTCACGTAATTAAAAGTGTCCATGTGAATGGGGCTTAAACTAAACAAAAGGGAGTGAAACACTCTTGGATAAAAAAACATCTGCGGCACGATATGTTCAAGGAGTGTCTTTTCAATAGGAAACAGTTTTGGGCTACCTTCAATCACATTCGCTCATTTAACAATACACTTTACACAGTGAAAACCAACAAAGTTGCAATCACACCACTCGACAATAAACGATACATTCATGAGGATGTCATACACACTGTGCCCTATGGTTATAATCCATTAGATTAATTGTCATGTCCACAGGGGCGGTCGGGTAGCCCAGTGGTTGAAGCGTTCGCTCGTCACGCCGAAGACCAGGGTTCGATTCCCGACATGGGTACAATGTGTGAAGCCCATTTCTGGTGTCCCCTGCCGTGATATTGCTGGAATATTGCTAAAAGCAGCGTAAATCCATACTCACTCACTCACTCACTCACTCACTCACTCACTCATGTCCACAATTCTTCCATTGTTGACACTCACTTGTGAACCTCATCTTACAAAAAGGAAGCAAGAAAAACAACAACAAAAAACGAAAATGCAATGCAGAAGGATGGAGATTTTTTTCATACAGGTATTTTACACATTATATAAAGTTATTTTTCAATATATTATGTATTTATATTGAAAATAGAAATAATTCACCTTTGAAGTCTTCAATTACAGGTAAAGAGTAAATATAGTATATCAACTGATTCTGCATATGTAATTGAGTCTCATAATCATACATCATTATTGGAAATATTGGAGTTTCATTTTAAACATACTACCCTTTCTATTCAGTTTTTAATTTGTTTGTTGTAGCCATGTCAACAATATCCAGATACCATTACACCATTGAGAATAAAAGGATGAAAAATGTGTACGATAGCAAGAAATCGTACAAAAATGTTTCGTCCTTATTGGAGGCTGGACGACACATGGCGAAGGGATTCCCCTCTGAGGATGGACCTTATCAAGTCAAGATATCCAACTTGACATACAGACTCCCTTTACCCCAACAATCAACCCTATCGGACAAAAGGAGGAACTATGAAGAGATGTTGGACACATTTTTCATTAAAGAAATCATAGACGGTATCTAGATGAGTGCTGCAGATGATAAGTGCGAAGGGTGTGTAATAGGCCAACCTTCTCAAAAATATCATTCCTGCCTGATGATAAGTGAATACACAAAGGTTCAGTGGTATTTCGATGATGTGTTCAGAGCACTGAAGCCAATAGAAATAGTGATCAGATGCAGAGAGCATGTTACTGATGGAAATCTGCTTCACGACTATCATGAGATACACTTGTTGAAGTATGAGGACACTGAGTGGTTAAAAGGTAATTACCTAATCTATGAGAAGACCCGTTCCTTTAAAGCGCGGGTAAAAGTACTTATGAGTTAAAAAACAACAACAACAAAACGTTACTCATTACCTGAGATAATTATTTCTCTTAAGACTTTTCCTCATGTTTGTTAGATATGGAGTCAAGTTGCGAGTGAACTTCATAATGGTTGTATGGAAAAAAAAGAAGAAAAGTGTTTCAACCATGACTTGTCCTACTTACTCATGATGTGAAAAACGGATGATCTCCCTTTGATCACCTGAGAATATTTCTTTTCACTTACCAAGTTGTTTCATTCTTTGTTAACATAAAAACAACAGAAGTGTGAATTAAAAATACTTTCATTTATTTATTACAAAACATGATCGTAAATAGATAAAAATGGAATCAAAGGTAAAAATCATTGACAGGAAAATACCTTTTGGGAACAATAAATTACAAAATGACATCAGCACTCATCAAAATTGAATCTCCACACAAATAACAACTCTTATTTTCTTTTTGCAGAAATATATTAACGAATGTTGAGGTAGTATTTACTTAAACAAAACTTACAATAAAAAGCAAATTGCTATGCAATCAACAAACCATACTAGAGCTTTTTAAAAAAAATAAATTATAACGTATATACTTATTCACTTAATTATTTATGATTATATAAAAAAAGACTGATGCTATTAGAGGCATTTCGAGTCTTATTCACATTGATCGGAAAATATCTTAGATGTAGACTGTCAAAAAGTTACAATAACAGTAGCATTGGACAAAATTGAAATATAGACTTTTATTATTATTGATATCATTATAAAACATGATTGTTGATAAATGAAAAAACAAACTAAATGAAAATCACATTGATAGAAAAATATCACCGCAAAGTAAAAATAAAAATGATTGGTAATAATTTGAAATACTAAATCACTGAATATGTTATAAACCTTACTAAACTTTATACAATAAAAACCAAACATCTTATTCACACACTAAAACCAACAAACAAATAATAAAAAAAGCCCAAATAACAACACAAATTCTGTTAGAAACCTCATATATATACCGTATTCGACGTAATAAGCGTCCAGGGTGCTCTCAAAATAAGAAATAGGGGACCCTTATTAGAATAAACTTTTGATGAAAAAAACCCAGAGTTCACAGCCTGAAATGATACACAAGAAAAGTCTGTGCGTATAATACACGACAGATATATTTTTCCAGAATGTAATTGCCCATAATTAAGGGTGCATATAATATACGAGTATGAATAAGTCTTGTGTACATTGATCAGTCCGAAGGGGCGCTAATTGCGATTGTTCACTAACCAATATATTAGCAAATATCGCCATGGGTGCTTATTAGAGCAGGGACGCTTATACAGAATACAGAATAAATACTCACACACATACATGACAAGGTAATATGCTACCCAAACATTTGCCAAGGACCTATACGTTTGGTGTAAAACAAGACAGTTGTAGGTTGAAGTGGAAACACAATGAAGAAGAGTTATCAGTGTCAGAATATTAGCATTCAAATAATAGATGTTATAAAGAGTGTCTTAGTTTTTCATTTACAGACTTAGAATTGCCAAGAATTGGTCCTTGCCAAATGTTGAGAAGTATCTTTTATTCACCTTAGACCTTGTCATGTATGGATGTGAGGTTGGAGTAGGGGTGAAAGCAACAGTAGGGGTGGAAGAGGTAGAAAGCGGGGACGGTTCAGGGCTATCCGGTGACTGTTGGCCACATTGTTCCTATATATAAGAAAGGCGATGCCAATTCTCCCACTAATTATAGGGGTATCACTATCTTAAGTGTATTCAGTAAACTTTATATTTCTATTTTAAACAGAAGACTTCAGTTTTGGTCTGAATCCTATGATAGACTAGTAGAGTCTCAGGCTGGTTTTAGGAGTGGATATTCCACAACTGATAATATTTTTGTTTTATATTCAGTAATAAAGAAATATTTGGCTAAGAAACGAGGTGTGATTTATGCCTTGTTTGTTGATTTTGCCAAAGCCTTTGATTCCATAGATAGATCCAAATTGCGTATGGTACTATACAAAAATGGTATTTCTCCGAAAATGTTCTGTTGTATACAGTCAATTTATAAACAAGTTTTGGCATTGGTCAAATACAATAACTCATTTTCTGATATGTTTAGCTGCAGTAAGGGAGTTCGTCAAGGATGTGTCCTTAGTCCCATTTTGTTTGCCTTGTTCATAAATGATCTTGCCATAGATATTGAATCCAGTTGCGCACATGGTATCCAATTTCATCCAGATGTAGTTCAATTGTTTTTATTACTTTTCGCAGATGATGTCATTCTCATAGCAGATACTGTTTATGGTCTCCAGAAAAGAATCAATGTGTTAGAATGTTATTGTAAAGATTATTCATTAACAGTCAATATTGATAAAACTAAAGTAGTAGTTTTTAAAAATGGGAGTGTTCTTTCAAAATATGAAAAATGGGTTTACGATGGAAAATTGTTGGAATGTGTAACTACATATAAATACCTTGGTGTATTATTTTTTCGAAATCTATCTTGGAGTGCACATATATCTAATGTTGTTAATCAAGCTAAAAAGGTTTTGTTTAAGCTTTTGAAGTCCCTACAGCTAATTAAACCTACTCCTATGAATATTTTCTTTAAAATTTTTGATGCTAAAGTTGTGCCAGTACTTCTTTACGGTGCAGAAGTTTGGGGTTTATCTTTATCGTTTTGCGAGGAGATTGAAGTTGTTCATACACTTGCTTGTAAACGTATTTTAGGAGTTAAGTCAGCAACTTCCAATCATGTTGTGCGTGGAGAGTGTGGGAGATACCCTTTGTATATCTATGCTTTCAAAAGATGCTTGAATTATTGGTGTAAGATTTTAAAGATGCCCGATTCGCGTTATCCACGAAAAAGTTACAATATGCTTGTGCAGCAGGCCATAGCAGGTAAGACTAATTGGGCCTCTAGAGTTAAATTACTTTTGTACGCCTATGGCTTTGGCTACGTATGGGAAAATCAGCATCTTGTTATTTCTATTTCATTTATTGATGAGTTCATACAAAGATTAAAATGCTCTTATGAACAAGATTGGCATTTTGCTTTGACCAATAGCCCCAAGTATTCATCATATCTTTGTTATAAATTTAGGTTTAGCAGGGAATTTTATTTATCGGCTATTACAATCAATAAGTTTCGCGTTGCACTGGCACGTTTTAGAGCTAGCTCCCACTCGCTCCACATAGAAACCGGGAGATATTTTGGTATCCCAAGACAGCGAAGGTTATGTATGGTTTGTAAAACAGGCTATGTTGAGTCTGAATACCATTTTGTATTGGTTTGTGAAAAATATTATGCTCTCCGAGTGACATATATTCCTCAAAAATATTATGTAAATCCATCAATAGAACAATTTTACATACTTATGTCGTCTCTGCATCAGTCAACAATTAGAAGTCTGGCTTGTTATATTTACCACGCTTTT